GGAGCCCCTAGTAGCGTCCTTGCTCCTAGTACCCTTTGCTCCTAGTAGCATCCTTGCTGCTAGTAGTAAGACCAGGAGCCCCTAGTAGCATCCTTGCTCCTAGTAGCAATGCCCTTTGCTCCTAGTAGCGTCCTTAAACCGGAATATCTTGCATTTTTATTGATGAATATTTGTTTCATTGAAATCCAGGTTTTTTGAGGTGCCTGTCTTCCTTTGTGCGACGGTGTTCCTTTTCGCAATCTCAGAGTCTGAGTCTAAGGATCTGCCAGTGAAGGGGTAGCACAAGACTACAAAGTGCAAGGCTGCTCGATTGCTTCAAGTTGACGGGGAGTACGGTATATGTCCGCTAAGTCAGTCGGAGCCATCAGTTTCTTCAGGGACTAATGTCTGCAGACGGGGCAGGGCGGGTGTGGTTCATGAGGCTTGCCGCTACAAATTCATCCGAGATTGACAGATTGTCAAGCTCGTTGCACTACCCAGGTTTCCGCTTGATTGGTATTTTCTCGAAGGGCATCTATGACAGCACCTGGCTTGCAGAAAGGCTTTGATGAACTTTGAGGGAGTTTGTGGCAGTTGCAGACACGTTTGCCCGTTTGCCGTTTTGATTGTTGTGTCCGTCGCTTAGCCAGAAAGTCCAAGGAGAAAAGTTTAGAAGCCAGGACCTTTTCGTGACAAAGTACAAGCAGAACCCGCAGGCGCTTGCATAGGGCATAAGGTAGTTGTATGGCATTGTATGGCTCTTTTGTTGTTGACATGTTTCTAGACTTACCGCCATGTGACTTTTCCACCTCTTTAATAGACACAGCTTCAATTTATACTATATATATAGTTGGGCAGCTCTGGTTCGGCTTGATATTTCTCACGCTTCTAAATCAGAGGTTTCAACTCAGTAACAACTTGGGCAAGCTGCTCTTCCTTGTTTTGCGGTACGCTTTGTGTGTGTGCCTTCGCAAGGCAATTCTCAAGGAGATAAGCAACGGTGAGAGCTTGCCTGTGCGGTTAGAGTTTCAAGGGAAGGTGCGACCATTCTCCTGTGGCTCGGAGACTCTATGTGTTGCATCAAGAAGCGCATTTTGCCATTCTTATAGTAGATAAATTGCTATACATGTAATTACTGACCTGTCATGACTGGCTGAGGTGAGTGCATCATCTTGGGCATTTTTTGCTGCATTTTCCTGGCCTTCATCTTGCAGGTTGGGCACTGTGCAGCTTTCGGTTTTGAAGAACAACGCATGGAGTGGTGGACCTGACAGGTTATGCGGGTGGTGGATTCCTACAGCCTCGCCGAGATCCATCGAATTGCTTTGCTGGACAACGAGTGGTATGAATACCACCCCACCCGCATCATGAATTTCAGGAGAGCTTGGCCGAGCTGCAGTATGCGAGGAAATGTCCAGCCTGTTGCCTACTTTGTGTGGAACCTTAATGTAGCCCTCTTTGGGTGGCAGTGGGGTGCGGCGCATACCTCTACAAATTCTAATTCATGCACGCTCGTCACAAGATCTCACAAGTGGTTTGACCCCTTCACATCTTTTAATTACTAGGTTGACTGCGGATGTCGCTTTTTCGTGCGTCCACACGGCGAACTCCTGCCAACGAAAGCACACTTTCCTTATCTTTCCTTTTTTCGAGGAACATGTCACTGGTGCCACGGAGCTTCAGCTCATGGATGAGAGAAGCTGTTTTCGAGGGGGAGTTGGGCTGCGTGAGCACCCTCAATGATGTCAGGCGCCTTTTGACGCCTTTTATGTCGCACACCCAGTTGATGCGCCAACTTTGTGCACGGAAAACTATGTGAGTCAGAGTATTCTTGTTATTCTTTTTGGGGGGGTGCGCGTCTAAAACTCTGCCGCGAAAACCGTACGATTTTACTGATTTGCCTCCCGCGTGCCAGTACTTGCATCAGCGAAAGTTCGGATGGGAATGAGCTGGTGCGAAGCAACTGGCGTCTTGGCGAATACCGCTGGTTGTTGTCACAGAACTGTCGACAAAAGAGATAAAGAGCTACCAGGGGCTCCTGGCCTTACGACTGGAACAAGAAGCTACTAGGAGCAAAGGGAATCGCTACTAGGAGCAAGGACGCTATTACAAAAGAGCCAGAAGTCGGTGATGGTTGCCCTGTCGGCAAGTTTTCGATCGATTGTACGTTGTCGCTCTTGTAACTGTTGTACCTTGAATGCTTGTTTGCTCTACTGGAGGCAGCTCTACGTCCATACCAGCAACTCAGAGAACTTCTTGAAACTGAGATCATTGCCAGAACTCGCCAGTTGGCCTCTCAGATCCTTTGATAGTCCACTCTTCCTGTCATGGCCCTCGCATGAGAGTTTAAAAGCAAAATGGACTTGCCTGGAACGTTTGATACCTAGTGAATCTCATGATGCTTGATGCACTCATTTAATAGTCTAATTGTCACAGGTTGGTTGAAGTTGAAGCATTGGCGGAGCGATTGTTCCACGCACCTTTGTCAGAGGCCTAGATATTACAAATACTGCTCAAGATGCTGAAGGCCGGGAACTAGTTCACTTTGTTAGTTCGGTCTTTTTAGCTTTTTGCACTTTGAACTCAGAACTGCACCGTTTCTTTGGTATGCTAGCATATTCAATCATGTTTTGCCTTGTTCTCAGTGCGGGAGCTCTGTGCACTTATGACCTGTGCTTTCTTGCAGAACAGGGTGATAGAAGAGTCATACCATTCCATATTTGTTTTGTACACTTGTCACTTTCATGTTTCGTGCTTCCAAGATGCAACTGAGACAGACTGCTAGGTATGGTTGCTGGGTTTATACCAAAGATCTTTGGCTGCAGCTCAATGGTTGACTGTTGGGGGAAACCGTAGTGACCAGCAATGCATTGCATTGCTTGTTGCCGGGCCGCGGGTGACTACTGTAGCTGAGGTAGGACTCATGCTTAGTTTGTGGCCAATGTAGTTTATATAGCTGCGGGATGCAATATAGTGCTGGCGTACTATAGCAGAGACGTTCCTGTTCACTTCCTGCGTTTTTGATTTTTGGCATATGTATTCGCATCATTTTGCGATGATTGATGATCAGTAAACTTTGTCACCCAGCAGGGGTCCAGCAGAATCTGACTACGCTCAGCCTAAAAAGCTAGGGGCCTCGGCGAGATGGCGATACTATCAGGAGTGCTGGCAACAATGAGATGACTGGCCGCTTGCGGAATTGGAATGTGGCCTGGCCTTGTCCAAACGCCATGAACATGCGTTGGTTTTGCAGTCCATAGGCACATAGACATAGATTTCACTGAGTACAGTACTTGCAACCCAACATTCACTTGTGGCCTTCCATTAGTTTCAGTTAAATGGGCAGCAAGACGGTGTGTGTAAATAAATGTTATGGTGTATATGTAAATATATTTTTTGAATATGCGTAATATATTGTACAAATATATATATAATATACTATAGAAATACAGATTGCCCCAGTCAGACATTTTTGGGTAGCATGGTAATGGGCTGAACCATGCATTTGGCACAGGTTGCAGTGATGCCAAACAATCAGATGCGGATGATCCTTCAGACGCCGTGTTTCCAGCAGGTGACTGGGCCGTTCTGCTACGTTGAAAGTCGGACAGGGTAACCTACTAGCAATGGCCTCCAACCTAATAGCGATGGCCGCCAACCTGTATATATATATTATGTATATACATATATATATACACATAATAGGCCTCCAATTAGTATAAGAGCATTCTTTAGTGTTTGATCCTAGCAGCAGCTCAGCTACTTATATTACATGCCACTACTTTTGCTGCCTCATCCTAGCTGGCATTTACGGTAAATTGTCCGTCGCTGGGCATTGGGTCGTCTTTGAATTTCGACCTGAAGGACTTAGGACCAGTAAGTTCCAAAAAGGTTTTGGCCAATGCTTAACTTGATGGGCAAGCTAACTTGAGGTGACCAACCAACGCTTCAACATCGACTATCCGTACCGTTTGGATCCATTGATTCATGGCTGTGCTTCCTCCGACTGCATGGGGCGAGTGATCAAAGCTGGGTTGAGCTGCTACACGTACGACGGGGACACCATGGATCCTAGCAACTTGGATCCAGGTATCGCACGTTTTGCTCCAGGCCTGCCATTAAACCCGCTTTCTCCCTCCGTGAGCCAAATCATCAGGTTTTGCAGGGAAGTCCAGGAAACAGGTAAGAGAACTGAACCAGTCAAATCATGCCAAATCCTAATGATGCTTGGAAAAGGCTTGAAAGCTGAACTGGGACCGGCTCCAACCAGACCACACTCCAGCGTATAGAAGACACTCCGTGACACTCCGTGACCACCGAGGTGCTCAGACAGGCGCCTACACTGGTTTGCAGTACAGGTACACCTCTGGCAAGGGCATTTTGCTTGGCCTTGGAAACACACCAGCTGAAGCGAAGACAGTTCCCTGGCTGAATTGAAGGCTTTGCTGAGGCACCCTGCTGAGGCACCCTGCTGAGACTTTAAAGCCAGTAAGAGGTTTGGTTGATTGAAGTCTTGGTGACAGCTCCGAAGCGTTTACCATAGGAACATCACAGCAGCAATTGAAATCCATACTTGTAGGGCCATAGGAGGCATCATCTAAGATTCCAAGGCACATATGCCGCAAATGCATGTTTTGCTACATATGTCATTGCCATAGAACGCAGATTTTTGTGCGACTTGGCTTTGGCAACTTCGTCATTCTTTCAATCTCTTCTCAGGTTTGGGACATTTTCTCTCAGGAACAGTTGAAGCCAGCGACTTGCCGGAGGTTGGTGACTAGGATAGGCATGGTGTGAAGGCATTTTGTGATGGCTACCCTTTGGCTGCCATTTGCAGTCCGCTACTCAGAACCACGATCACAATTTCCGCAACATACAGGGAACTTCCTCTAGAGCTTGGTGCCGCAAAGCTTCAAATTCTCAGGGTTTTTTCCAGAGAACCTGGCTAAGAAAAAGATGCTGAGGGAGGAAAGGTTGGTCACAGGCTTTGCAGCCAGGTGGGTGTGGTTATGGACCGTTGTTTGGAACCCTACTGTACTTAATTGTAGTTTGGAACCTTAATTAAATACATATAGCTTTATGGCAAGGACCACTCATTGATCAATCTTAGGGCAATCTGAATCCTTCACTTGTTTCGATTATGGCAGTTTTGGCAGTTGGGATTGCGATCAGGTGGTGCTCGAAGCCATTCGAAACCGTACCGTTTGTCTAAGCTAGTGGAAAAGGTCTAGGCCTTGAATACTGCCACCCTTGACATGGAGCAATGTGAAGCTTGGTGTCCAAGCGGCAAAGGTGGCAATGATCTTGGAGTTTGTCACCTACAACGGAAACATGGATATGTTTACTCACGCCCGCGTTAAGTTCGAGCTGCAGCCTACTGGGTGGCTTGCTTTGGAAGTGACATTGCAGGGGGTGAGGTGGATATGGGGAGCGAGAGAGAGAGAGAGAGAGCGCGCGTGCGCGTATGTGTGAGAGAGGAAGGAAGGGAAGAAGGAAGGAAGGAAGGAAGGAAGGAAGGAAGGAAGGAGAAGGGTAAGTAAATAGATAAAGAAAGAACACAAGACACAAGAGGAAGATAAGGCAGAAAGGCAAGCAAGAGAAAGGGAGACAAAGATGTTCTTGGCATATGCCACGTTCCTAGCCTGGACACTCCCTTGTTCCAAGCCAAGCGGTGTGCAGACGACAATCGCCCTTTGAGATGCTGACCCCCCTATATACTGTGTATACAAGCAAATTAAATCTGGATTTGGCTCCTCAAAATTGAAGGCAACAATTCTCAGGTCTTGCTCTCAAAGGTCACAACTGTGGCGCTTCCCCACATTGTGACTTCTTAATGGAATTCACTTTTGCCCGCCCTGACAATCAAGATATTGAGAAGCCAGGCTCGTGAAGTGTCACCAAAAGTATTCATCCGTATCCAATTTAGAAGGCCTCCCCCGTCAACCAACTTTATAGGATTCTATAGGTCAAAAGGACCTCCAAACTCCACCCAACGTTGTGAAGGGATTTGCCTCGCCACCTTTCCTCCCCATCCTCACTTTGCAAATTCTTAACCCACTTTTCGATTCAGTTGTTCCTGATGCACTTCTTAGTGGAACTGCATTGCCTTTTCAAGGTGCCACTAGTTTTGGGCCAACTAAACTTGGCATCGTTGTTGCCTGGCAAACTATTGCCAGGAACGTGGTGCTTTTTGGAGGTTGGTTCCTGGTTGCGCGAGGCATGCGTGTGAGCTCCAAGGTTGCTTCAGCGGCAGATTGACGTGGTGGTGTTTCCATTGAATGTTTTCAATATGGGTCTCACAGACTTTGCCAATGAGAACCTTGTCCCAAAGCATTCGCAGACCAAGACAAGATATTACGTAAGGAAATTGGTCTCGAAAAGAGGGATCGATCGGCCTGCATGTGATGTTGCCTCGTGTTTGATGCGTTTTACTTGTCCCGACCTCGCGCTGAGGAAGACAGCATCAAACAGAGCACTGTTTATTACCTACCTTATCATCGGCTTCATTTTCCTTTGCTGGGTTTTGAGGGATCTTCTCATCCAGTTGCAATTGATGCTTGGCATTCTGAATCGTTTGAGGTGGGCCGAGCTGTAGCCTGCAGGACTCCAATGCCGTTGCAACGTTTCCAAGGACGAGCATGGAGAAGCCATGGTACATGTTCATTCCTGACTACTTCATGGATGACCTTTGGAATACAGTAGACGTGGTTTGCCTTGTGATCAACGGCTTCGTGATCAATAGTATCTTGAGGCCGGTAGCTTGGCAATATGGGATGTTTGTTTGATTTGCTCCGGTGACCAGGTATCTTCTCATTGATGGCACATTTAACCTGAAGGACCGTCAAAAAGCTGCTCGTGTGCATGGGTTGCATTCACTGTGACCAAGACCGGTGAGCCCACCGATGAACCCCAGACGCACCGGGTCAACCGCAGGAGGGATTCAGGTCGTGGACTTTGGACTTCACAGCTGTGGCTGCGGTCACGGCGAGCACCACCGACAGCTACGAAGAGTTTGGCCGGGCAGCAGACTTGCAGCTTGGAATTTTAATATTGCTAGCCAATGCTAGCATCTCTCATACCGTCTCACACCTGTACCTTTCCACACTTCCACCAACTACAACTACAACATGGTTGGCGATGTTGGCGTGGTTCGGGAAGGTCAGCCGTGGAGGATTCGGCGGGTCTGGCCCAATCGATCGAATCGCCTTGACCCTTCCCCGCCTCGCTGAGGTACCAAACGTTTCAAACTCTTTCAGCCTTAAATGGCCTTTTCCTGGTGCTGCGCTTCGTGCCTTGGCCTGCTTTTGCGCGAGTCGCGAGGCAAGTCGCGAGTCGTAAGGCCTCCGGCGCGTTGCCTTTTCTCCCCGAGGCCAAGTACTTCCGTTGTGTCTCATCTTTGCGGCTGGTGCTGGCCACATTGGCGGCAGCGGTCTCTGAGCTAGTGACCATTGCGCTGGTGATGCTCGTCGTGCTGATGGTAGTGGTCTCATGGCAGAAGGTCCTGCACGAGCTGGAGTCCGGAGTTGAGAAAATAGGTGTCAGGTGGCAGTCTAAGTTTGCTTATTGAATCTATCGAGTAATAGTAATAGTGAGTTATATATATAATACCCTCAACTACTTAGGGTCTAACATCAGCAGACCCCCAGGACTGGCAGGTGAAAGGTCAAACTTGGTCTTTGGAGGATTGTAGACCCTGTCTCCTTGACTATGTTAGACCCTCCAAGCCGGATCATGACGGACGTCACTATAACGTACTTTAGGATACATTAAAGCTCGAGGTACTTCATGTTAGACCTTTTTCAAGGAAACATAGTATGATTTAATATAACTTGAACATATTTTACTATATACTAAATACACATGTATATATAATGTCTTGAATCTCGTGATCGTGGAGAAGAACCGTTCGTGTGGCTGCACCAGCACTTTCTCACATGTTTTTTTAAAGCAGATGCATTGTAGAAACAATGGGAATGCTAATTTTTAACCAGTTTGTTGGAACATGGAGGGTCTAAGATGTTTTCCCCTAGTCCACAATGCCACCTGGCTCATCTGGAGGTGCTTGAACAGTATGTTAGGCCCCCTGAAGAGACCAGGTGTCCACAAAACCCCAAACTTGGCAACATGGGGTCTAACGTGCAGAGCTCCATGCCATAGCAATAACCCAGCAAGTTCTTTCTATGAGAATACCATTCCAGACCCCTGAACAGACCTGGTGTCCACAAAACCTAAATATTGACAGGGCGGAGTCTAACGTCATTAACAGGGTGGAGTCTAACGTGTAGATCTCCATTCCATAGCAACAACCCATCCAGTTTTTGCTTTAAGAATACCATTCCAGACCTTTGGCAATTTCTGAATACCATTCCTTGCCTACATTACAACAATGTGGTCTGGTGGGAGGGTCTAATATGTTTTCCTGAAGGCACAGCGCTCATGGTTAAAGCTGGATGTTTGAGAATATCTTGTCAGACCCTGGTTGAGAATATAAGTGTCTATCGTCTGCAGTCGCAAAGGGAAAAGCTGTTTGTCATCACCCCAGTTTTGGGGGTCTACATGATCTTCCTGGGGTCCCATGGTAGTAGTTGCCGGGATTATATATATATATATATATGTTGTTCGGCAAAAAATATGTACTGTGTATATATATATATACATTGTCGTCATGGTTTGCCTTACTATCTTGGGCACTCTCAGGCCTTCCACATCTTTGTGGTGTGTAGCTGTAATGTGCAAACTCCTCGGGTATGGGCACCACAGATCAGAGCTGAATCGTGAAGATTGGGGTTGTTGGATGCTGTTAGCAGACATGCTTTAAGAAGATGGCAATTGCGGTGGACTAGTTTTGGTCCTTGCATTTTCTGACATGACATACTGTAACAGATACCGTACGTATTGGTTTGCATGGCCATAGTGGATGGAACATGATGGAACTTAATTGTCATTGATCCGCACAGTGCCGGTCACCATGAAAGGGTTGATCGTATGCTTTCTTCTTTGGGGCACAGAGTAAGTTAAAAGACGCTTTTGTAGGCCTCGAAGTTTTTGGCTGAGGTGCTTCTCATGCACAACAACTTCGGCATCCTTTTTCCCAGAATCTGGGTGGGTAGTGATTCATGGGGAACGTCACCTTCAAGCCTATCCTTGCTTTTCTCCCACTTGAAGAGCGCAAAATTGTGAAGATGGCAAGAAGCGGGGTGGGAGGGGTGACTTACTCACAGCCATGTGAACACATTGCATGGCATGACATCGCCAAAGTTGAGCACCGAATCAAGCAGCGCACGTGCAACAACACTGGGAAGTTTTGCCAAAGGAGCCCGTAACTTGTTCAGATTGCGTTTGCCTGTATAGAGTGCGTTCTTGCGCCTTTGCTTTGCCCATGCTATAGCCGGGAGCGCTCAAAAACACCTGGTTTTGATTGATGCATGTGTCACCCACTGTGGTTGAATGGTTGGATCAACCAAAAACAATTTCATATTAGCCAAGGATATGGAACCTTGGAGTCCGCAAGCCAATCGCTCTTCTTTTTTCTTACTGGCTATTTCGACACAGATGACTTGTTTGCAGCTGCTCCGATATTCTTTCTGTGGATTACCATTTTCTTCCAGATCACTTTCTTGGTAATTCTGGACCTCTTTGTGGCGGCAATCATTTACCGGTGGAAAGACACCCGTCGTGATGCAGAAGAGTTTTCCATCACCGGCTTCTTGTCTGAACTTGTGGAGAGATGTCCACAGGCCGTGCGGCATCGAATCTAGTCCACATATTATATTGTCTTATTGTATATACAGGGTTACTGTAGATGCTTAAAAAATGAGGCTTTAAGGCCTTTCATAGCCTTTCATATCCCTCACTGGGCAATATCAAGAGGCTGACAGATTTTGGATGGACAACGCAAGTAAGGAAGCTAAATGAATTTGCACGCTTCTAGCTCCACGGTGTCCTTGGGTCTTCACTCATTGTCGCAAAGGATCAAGTACTGAGTACTGTAGCATTTGTTGAAAGGCTGGCTTCTCAGATGTTCAATGAGGTTTTTTCTCCGTCATAAAGGACAACTTGAACTTCTTGAAAGGCAGCAAGGCTGGCGCAGGCTCTTCAGAGGAGACCTGCGCAGAGAAGAAAGGGAACAGAAGGAAGTCATGCAAGATACGCCCGAGCAGTGCGAGAGAGGTAGACGCCAGCCAAATAATGAACACAGAACACTGTGAAAGTTATATAATTCAGGTGGGGCCAGGAAGAGGGAGGGATACCCAGGGCCTCATTAGCTAGCATAAGCATAAGCTCCTCGACACATTTGGCCCCATTCGAGCTTTTGTGCACCGGAAGGACCGGAACGTGGCGAAGCTGAATAAAGATTTCTGGAAGAAGATGGGCGTACTTCCGCACTTGGATCGCTTGGATGAGCGAGGCAAGATTCTGCCTGCTCATGAATCAAAGGCGGCGAAGACAGAAGCTGAGGAGGACTGTTTCCGACTGACAGGTTGAATGCCGGGCAGCTTCTTTTGGAGGTGTGGTAAGGACGCTTGATTTAGAACCTGCAGTCATTGAACATGTTCGGATTATATAGTCTATACTATACCATTTAATTAGTAAGGTCGTTGCCCTTGGCTACAGGAGCGTGCTAACACCCCTTTATCATCTCTTATCCCCTGCCCAAACTACACACATTTATGTATTCTTGGCCTTGGTCCGCAATCCACACCCACTCTTTGGATGTTGATCGCTCGTGATTAATCGGACCGTGCACAATGTGAGGATCTTCGAGACGAAGAGGGCTCAGAGGGTGACTTTCAATCGGTGCCGCAGACTTGTTTGTGAAAGGTTGTGAGAGTAGCGGTAACAATAAGCTGATAGCCATCGCTTGTTGACGCTACTTTGTTGCATCTTTTTCTACCACACTTTGTTCATTGGGCCAACCTTAGCCTAAGCTGCTGATCGATGCGGACTTCTTGATAAGCTAACTCCGGCCTCCGAGGTGCAAGACCAGAAGCGCTTTGTCACAGTGTTCAAGAAGGCCGTGGGCTTTGAACATTCGAATTCATCATTGAAGCATTTTGGAAAAGCAGCGAAGCCGCCCTTTCAAGTTGGTGCTGCTATATATGTATGTATATATATATTCGCAATATATACATATACATATATTTATTTATTTATATTATACAGCTGCTCAAGGCACTTTTTGCCCACATTTGTCGGCAGGGAGTGCACAGCAGAGAGCGCTCACGTCACATTCCCCAAATGGCACAGCACAAACGCGGTGAGACAAAACAATTGCAGTTTTCAATAATCGACCCCCCAAAAGGGCAACACTTCAACCCATATGCACATTATATAATATATAGATGTTATTTTTACAATAATCTACTGTATATTACTTATTATATCATAATATATCTAATCTACAGTAATCTAATCTATCTAACCATCTAACCTAATCTATCTATATCTATATTTGTATGTTCGTCTTCATTTGAGCCAGACGAGCTTTGGACTTTAGAACCTCGACCCTCCCGGAGGCGCACATGGAGATCGCCTCCCAAATGACCCGGGAGATTTCGGACGTCGAGGATGGCAACGAAGCGGCCGAGGCGCCGAAGTGACCAGAGTGGGCTGTCGGTGTAAATCGCCTACGGTTCTGAGTAGGTCCTACTAGCAGGTCCTGTGCTTCCGCCTTCCCACACATGCCCAAAGGATTTGGACTACAAAGTTCTCCAGCGCTGGGAGCAAGAAGACTTGTCATTGTCGCAGGACAACTGTCCGTCGGTGGAAAGCTTGGACTGGATAAAGATGCACCGGCCTTGCTATCGTTTGACCGATGAACAGCCTGGGATATGTGCAGGAGAGGCTGGGAATCATTGAAGAGCCGCAGCATCAGCAAACAATGGAGCCTTGGTTTAATGATAGTTTACTTTCTTTGTTAGTCGTGCCACTTGGAGGTCTTTGATGCTTAAAGACTCCTGCATGGCTTTGCTTGCTTGAGTTGGCCAACCTTTCAACTTGCAATTCTTTGTTTCTTGAGGATCAAATCGACGCCAAGATGAACCAGGACCGACAATGCTGCTGTTTATGAGTATTGCAAAGAGCACAAGAGCCAATCTAGAAGTTCAAACGCTCGCACGATTGACTCGTCATAAGGGGAGTCCATGCCCGGGGGCTATTGTCGCGAAGAACTTATTCTTAGCTTTAGCACATCACCACAGATAATTCTTCACTGGCAGAGCCCATAGATCAGTTTCTCTCAACCTGATCGGTCGGTGGATGTTTGCCTGTACTGGAGGTTGCTATGTATGCCACACAGCCTTCATATGGGCTATGTTAATCAGAAGTCAGGTTTGGTTTCTGACCCAGGAGCTGGAACAATCACGGCCAGCGGAAGAAATTTGGCTTGATGCCCTCATTACAGTGCTAGAAGAGGCATGCACAAGAGCATGCAAGACAGCCGAATCTGAATCACAGGGATGTTTTTATGTGGAGGTTGATGACACGGAGTAAAACATGACAGTTCAATACATGTGACATTTGGATGCATTTGGTTGATGATGCGTATTTCATTCCAGTTCCTCACATTATTGGGCAACGCGCGCGCAGACACTTATATAGATCGATGCTCGCAAGAGCTTTATCCAGTGAGATAATCCACGCGGAAATGGATGCAAGAACGGCAAGAATGCTGAGTCGGTCGACTTGAAGGTGTTTGAACAATTGTTGCAAAAAACGCTTGACTCAAATGAGTTACTGAATACTTAGTCCTGAATCAACGGCATGCATAAGGGGGTGGTTCCATAGGGAAGCGAGACAAGTGAATCGTTTCAAGTAGGTAAAAAAGAAGTAAAGCTTCCTGTTTTATAGTTAGAAAAGGAAAGAAAAGCCTCCTGTTTGTAGCTAGGGGGCGAGACAGACGAATCGCCTCATTAAAGTAGAGAAGGGCAACAGAAGGAAGGGAACCGACGCACAAGTCCGCCGACGAACCTCTTCCTTTTGTTACCCATTAGGTCTGTGCAGGTACGTCGGTGGGCGTCCCCACTGATAACAGTGTTCAACGCAAGCCTCTTCGTTGGGCTGGTACTTGCATTGAACAATCAGCCCCCCTTCTGATGACCTGTGCAGGTTATCGGCTTAGTGCATGTTGAGAACTGAGTTTTTCGTGTGACCAAATTCCTTAGAGACGGGTGTTGACACACTCTGACATTGGTTTTCAGTTAACTCAGTTGCCACGATGGGAAGGAAGGTGAGAAACGGTATGGTGGAGAGTCCGCAATACTTGAAGATGTTTTAACAAAAGCTGTTTCGCAAGTCTGCAGAACTCAACGGCAAACCTCTGGGGCCTGGAGGTCTTGAAGAGGAAGCAAGGCCAAAAGCTCAATGCGTGACTGCAGAAAAGGTTTAAAAAATTGAAAGGCAGGTACGTCAGTGCTGGCCGGGCACTGATATCACATCCACTTGGTGCGGTCTTTGTTAGACGAGGCACACCAAGGGATCCTCATCCCCCTGCTTCTTTTTTGCGCGCTTTGTGCATGTTAAAAATTGACAAGCTGTACGCTAACAGCGATACTAGGAGCCTTTAGTAGCGAAACCGGGGGCCCTTAGTAGCGTCCTTTGTGACACGAAACCTTAGGGACAGGTGTGGACACACACACGGCGCCGTACTCGGCGCGCTCTCCTACCTGCAAACTAGTAGTGAGGCCAGAAGTCCCTAGTAGCGTCCTTGCTCCCCGTAGACCGGCCAGAGGCCCCTATAGTAGTACCGTCCTTGCTCCTAGTAGCGATCTGTTGGCAACAACTTTGTACACATAACGCCAATATTGGCGTTCCGGAAAACTACTAGTCACCTAAAAGGCCTTAGAAAGACAGACCAAGAAAACAAAACAAGAGCAGACTAAGAGGGCAAGAAGGAAAGATAGGCATAGTGACGAGGCCCACTTAGTTAAATGAAAGTAGTTCGCGAGCGGGACTTTTGTCTTAGACCGCTCGGGTAGCTAGCAATAGATAGGAGAAACAGAAGGAAAGGCACCAACACACAAGTGTGTTGAGTGCGATTTCCTTTTGTTTCCCGAATAGCAGGTGGGATAGCAACAGAGGCCTGGGGTAGGGGGGGGGGGAAAAAGACACTAGACATTACTGCAAGTTCGAAGTCGGAACATGTAGTGACTCATAACGACACATGACGGTGCAATTGGGTTCAGTCTGTCAAAAAGGAATTCCATCGTTTATAGCCCGGCGGCTCGAAACTCCGTTAATTCAGTTATACAAGTGGAACGACAAGTGGAAAACGTGGAATCAGTTATGAAAGTGGAAAACAGTGAGTTCCGGCATGGCTTCGGCGCCCCACTGAAGGGGATCACACCCAGCACCCAAGTGGGAAGACTGAGCGGCTCACACTCTGACATTGGTTTTCAGTTAACTCAATTGCCACGATGGGAAGGAAGGTGAGAAACGGTATGGTGGAGAGTCCGCAATACTTGAAGATGTTTTAACAAAAGCTGTTTCGCAAGTCTGCAGAACTCAACGGCAAACCTCTGGGGCCTGGAGGTCTTGAAGAGGAAGCAAGGCCAAAAGCTCAATGCGTGACTGCAGAAAAGGTTTAAAAAATTGAAAGGCAGGTACGTCAGTGCTGGCCGGGCACTGATATCACATCCACTTGGTGCGGTCTTTGTTAGATGAGGCACACCAAGGGATCCTCATCCCCCTGCTTCTTTTTTGTGCGCTTTGTACATGGTAAAAACTGACAAGCTGTACGCTAACAGCGATACTAGGAGCCTTTAGTAGCGAAACCGGGGGCCCTTAGTAGCGTCCTTTGTGACACGAAACCTTAGGGACAGGTGTGGACACACACACATAGAGAGATTCAGAGCATTATTGAAACGATTGAGTCGTTGAGGGCTATATAGACCAAGAATCACACCCCATGGGCTCCACTCCCCCTGAACCCCGCCCCTGGGACGTCTCAATGCAACATCGTCTCATTCTTCAACGCTTTGGTTGGACAGGGCCTTCTTTTCTGCAACAGCTTGCTGAAGGATGCTTATAAAATCTTATGAGAACCCATGCTAGCTTTTGTCACCAACCCCCGGCCACAAGTTTTGTCATTGCCGGTGTGCCACCAATACTATATAGCACTATACTGGAATATACTGGAATGCTGCTGCAAGAACACTTTCTACAGCAGGTTCGTTGCCTCAACTGATCCTTAGACATGCTCGCGAGGCAACACCAGGTTCCTTGCTCCTGATGTGCTGCCATGCCAGGCTGATGCACTGGAGAAGTTGCAAAAACTGTTCCTCCCCATGCCGATGATCCAGCCCAAGAAGGTGGGTCTGGATGGACGTTTGATCCACCCACTGTATGATACTGTATGGCCAGAGGGTCAGATTTTGAGGTAACACCACTTCTAGGTCATGTAATTAATTCACCAATCCAACCCCAAAAAATTGATGGCCATGTGTATGCCTGAATGGAGGGCACCTGATATCCAGCTACCCCTTTGACACGCAGGTATCCCATGATACCCTCATTGCTCCCATGGACCTGGAAGGCACATGAGTGGAGTCTTTTCGATCACAAGAAGATCCGCATGGAGCGGCGGCTCAACAGTTTCTTACGATGGCTTCAGGAAGAGGCCCGACAGGTTGCTGTGGACTGATGTGATGGAGAAAAGACTGGAAACAAACGAAGCCAAAAAGACAGACGAGGTACTGAGCATCAATCCATTGAATGCCTTGGGATGTCAAATGTCAAAAGCTGTGTCGGAACATTCTGCCCCAGCCAGGCTCGTGTGAAGCATTACCAGTTCGTCCGGGAAATGGCAGTCTCAAAGGAGCGCGTGCTGAAACAGTGCCCTGGTTAACTTGGATTACCCTGACGCTAACACTTGTCACTTGGGGTTCGACGGGACAAGCGGGCAGCCTGGCAAAGACTTGTTTCCTATGGACCAATGGATGGCCCATCCTTCACAAGTCTTCCCCCCAGGGTCCCTGGGGCCCCAATTGCGTTATGGTGCATGACACACCTTGCCACTGCGTCATGCTATGCTGCTATGATTTGCCATGCCTTGCTTGAGGCAAAGTTTGGTCCTGTCGGACTACCTGCAAACCTTGGACGAACAGATTCAGACACTGCAGAAGGACATGGAGAGCCTGGAGAGGAAAAACTCTCAGATTCGCGCCAAAGTTTCACCGCTTTTGTGACTCAGACCTCGGGATTTGCTTCAGCATACGCACTTGCACAGCCTTGACCACCGTTCAAGTCAAATACAGTCCGGTTTGGCAACATCGGCGGTGGAAGCCACCCCCGAGGATGCAGAATTCACATAGCACATAGCAGCGTGCTTCTAGATATTCCAGTTTGCTTGCAGCCTGCTTTTCTTCCAGCCGTCCCCCGTAGTTGCGTAGAGCGCTTTGCAATCTCACTCTGAACGCCTTTCTGCCTGTTTTGGTTCTGGTCGGCGTTTTCATGCTTTTCATGCTCACATTGGCGACATATTCATGTCTTACTGGCTTCCGACCATTTTAATGCTGCTCTGCTATGGTGCAGACGGGCAAAATCAAGACAAACTGCCACTTCTTCTTTTATAGTTTCTCAGGGTTCATGAGGACGGCTGGGAGTCTCGCTCCCCAAGCACTCAGCAGGTGCAGGCAGCTTGCAAAGACAAGTTGGCTGTTGGCTGCAGACCAGCGACGATGAATCATGACCGATAATTTTTACCCCGTTGTAGAGTGTGTCAGAAAGCCACACTTGTTTTCCATGTGTTCACCGGTCAAGTTGAACGATTCCGGGGATCAGGAGAACTCGGTTATGGTGCACACCTCGCAAGAGTGTCATAAGTCAGAAACGAAGGAATACGTAGTACCATTTCAATTTCTCCAACCGCCCATGCCATCAAAAGCAACATGTGTTAAACAGGAACAAACAGGATTCACATCAACATTAGCCGGCGGTGCTGTGTTAGAATATTCAGCCAATTCAGCCAGTTCAGTTCATGCAGACTAAAGTTTGTGCAGACTTCTGGTTGATACAGGCTTGACTTAAGTTTTGTTGCATGTCCATGTGAAGCGCCTTCAACATTTGAGATGAATACGATTGCATACGGGTCCAAGCGTCGCATTCATATGCGGACATGTTCCGAACCCTGGTAACGATAGGGGACGTACAAAAAACAATACCCTTTAACAAGGTTCCAAAACATTGGTAAACGATATGAACTCACAATTCTGAGGATGCAACAGCCGTGCACAATAGTTTTGACTGTAACTGTAATCATGTGGATTGTATATATGTCATTATATATAGCTTCATGACAGTCTTCCTACAAGCCTGTCAGGGTTGGTGCTGCGGGTCTGAAATCGAGTCACCGCCATCAGCATCAAGCAGCCAGTCTAGCCTCTGCAGCATCGCACCAGAAATGCGAGGATGCCGAAAAGAGCAAGCAATGTATAGAGGGCGTTGTGTTCCAATTAGTGAATAATTACTTAACAATACCGACAATACCGAACCGGATTGAGCTTTGTCCTGTGTTGTTGCTGGTGCTTGGTGCTGGTGGTGGATAGTCAGAGACGAAAACAGGTTCCCAATATTATATATACTGTATATGCAAATTATCATGATCCATCACATGTTGCGAGTCTGGAGCCTCAGGAGGACAAGGTTAGGATTTACTGAAGGTTGGAGGAAGAGTTGGTATTTGGCATAGGTCTTGGGTTTGTTCTTTTTTTTGTGTTCTTTTTCTGGAGGAGGATCAGTAAACAACCATAATTCCTGTAGACGGTCAAGCATGTGATATTATATATACACATACACTGGCAGTACATATGACAGCGAGTGACGAGGGCAAAAGGGAGAGGAATCTTGGAGGGAATATGAGTATGTTGAAGCTTTGCTGCTGCCATGGGCAAGCAGTATATAGCTGCGCTCAGTCAGAAAATGGCTTGCCTTCTTGCACTTCCTGCACCCCGACCAGGCCTCCTCCTGTGGCAGGCCAGGCAGTCGTTTGCACACCAGCAAAGATATTGCTTTGGTGCTGATTGTTTTATGGCTTTTTGTCAAAGTGTTCCCTGGAGGGACATCTCCAAAAGCACGTACATCAAAATGCATCAGCGGTAATTTCCCAGAGCTGCGTTGGCTCAAAACTGGCCATTGGGCGTTGTCCCGTCCGGCCTGTAGATTGCTTGCTGTTGCGGTTGCGACGTGAGTTTGAAGGCTGTTTGGCAACGTCTTAGCTCGAACTTCAATTGGATGGTGTTAACTGCAATCCGTTTCAAATGGAACTGGACATGCTATGGTGGGCAAGTTCACTCAGACCATCACAGACCACTAACCTCTCCCGATGCTCGGGTGCGCGAGTCTCTGAGTCAGCAATTTGATCAGGTTCCACATTCATGGCGCAGCCTGGGGTCCAAGTGACAGATCAAGAGACTTTGACATGACTTCCCTGTCCTGCATTTGAGCAGGGGGGGTCATTTGACATGTCATTCCTAAATGTGCTCTACATAAAGACAAGCTACATTGCCAAATATATACTTTCATATACTTTCCAGTTGGCTCCAGCTTTTTGCCGCCGATGGAGCTCCACCTATGAGGTTTATCCTCAAAGTGTCCCACGACGGAGATGTTCGCAGAAAGACTTTTGACGCAGCGCTGTGCCTAGAGAGTGGGATGAGGAGCCGGGCAACGCAGAGCCACAGTCAAAGCATGTGGCGCCACTGCGAGAATCAGATGGGAACAATGGCCACCAAAGCAAGCAATTCCGGCAATCCCAGGGGAGAAGTGAATCACCATGGATCTACGTATAATGTTAACATCACAATAATAAACCTCCTCCCTAGTGAAAGTCAACTCACAATAATGAACCTCAGACCTTAGGATTGTGATTGCATTTGATTATCTGATTATTGTTTTAAATTGATCCTAACATATACATTTAAAAACAAAAAACTGATTGCAGTATATAATCGAATTTGCTAAGATGTATTTAAATGTATTTTTATTACACTGCAATAGTTCAACAGGACGTTCATTATTGTACAGGAGAAAGTCCGGTTGGATATTAGCCACCTGAGAGTTGGATTTGAAAGGATGTTGTATGTTTCGACAGTGTGTCATTGTCACTCGTAAGGTGTACTTTTTGCCAAGTTCTTGTGACTTTTTAGATAAGGATGTTACCACGAAAGGTAGCTTCAGCTACCTGAGTTCAAATTAGCTTTAGCTTTGGGGCAGGACCCTCCCACACGCCATGACTTTGGGCTCGCGAAAGGCGATTCTGTACGACAGGGTCACCCCCCCCGGATCAACTCCATCCTGGGACGGGTGAATTGTCCTTCAATTGTACTGGTACCGTGGCTTCGTGTGATTGGATTCGCTCCTCGTCATTTGGCTACTGCTGCTGCTACTTTGGTGTGATTGGATTCGTATTGAGCTTCTCTCAGCCGCTGCTGCTGCTGCTGCTGTTACTGGTGCTTTGCTGCTTTGCTGCTGCTGCTGCTGCTGCTCTTCAAATCCCACGGATCTTTGTTTGTCTCTCTCTCTCTCTCTCCCCCTCTCTTCTCTCTCTTCTCTCACCTCTTTGAAAGTTGAACTTAGTGACCTACCTTTCGTCCACCCCCTGCCACTCAAGTACAGAAGTTGCTGAGACAATGTAAGTAATTGATTAGTGTGTTTTTTTATTGACAGTAGTTTATTATTGTATGGTTGCGGTAGCCAGGAGATTTTATGTTTATAGTTGACTTGTTGTTTACTATTGTGATGTGAACGTTGCGCATGCAATGTATTTAAACTGTGTGTATATATAATATTATATATATATATATATGTTAAAAACATGTTTTTGCAATGTGGAATGCATTGTCATTAATCCAAGTGTTGCCATATTGTTGTTTTTTCACCAAGGCCGAGGACGTCGGGAACTTGGGTTTTCCAGCTCGGGACTGTCAAGCCAAAATTCCTAGGTCGTTGGTTGTGTGGCAGCTGCAAGCTATATAGATTTGCATGGAATGAAACTTGCGTTTCACAGTGAATCCATTTGAACCCACTCGGTGCATGTGCACAAGTCTTGAATGATGTCAATGTTGAGTCATTATGATGAGATTTGGGATGATTTGGGCCCAGGTCTCATTCCAGGCTGTGCAAGCGTTCATCGGCCACAGCTATAACTTGCATGACTTTGTCCCCAAATACCAGGCATCAGATCGGCGGCATTCACAAGCTTGATGGATAAGCATTGTGGACCATTTTGGGGGTGCTTACTTGAGAACGTCCTAACAAGAAGGTGGAAACCACAGACCTTCAAACACACACTCTATAACGGGCAGTTTGCCGCCGCCGCCACCACCACCACTGTGATAGTCGGATGAACTGTTTAAACTCTGGCACCATTTGCACGACATCTAGCCTTGATTTTGTCAACACGGAAATTATCTCCGATGTGAACATGTATTGCGCCAGGATGAAGAAGGTGACTGGCGCAAAACTTAGTTGCAGTAGGGTGTTGTTTCATTTGTTGATTTTTTTCTGACTTCCCTTCCCTTCAATCCTCAGAGACGATGCTCAATGCCAAACGGCCGTTCCAGCATGTTTCAGCGACCTGCGCAGTGCTTTGGCCACACGTTGACATGTGCACGGCTGCCGAGGTGCACTTTGACGGATGCAACGCTGCCAGATGCCATGGGGCTGGTTAAGGAGAAGTTCATTAACACCGTCGCACCGTTTTGCTTGGTTCTTGTTTGTGGTTGAGTTTTACTGTGGACAACGACCAACGCAATGATATACCATACTTAAGCCGTACATCCACCAGGATCCCAACGTCTGCATAGTTTACTGATTTGGTTCCTGAAAGCCAGTTGAGCATTAACTTAAGGATGATTACAGTAAGGTTTGGTTTGGCTTGAGGACAAGAAGCTGCTCCGCCTCGAAGTGTGCGGAGGTGCATGGCCACCTTGAGGATCTTTTTCAATGCTTTTGCTTTTGCTATTCAGCTCGCCTCGAACGACACCTTGCTAGGGGAAGCTTGCCGCATCCTTTAGGTGTAGACAAATCGAGGAAAGCCATTCTCGCAATGTTGTGTAGCAGAGCCTCGTGCATCTCATTGGGCAGGTGCTACAGTGATACCAAGAAGTCAGTCGTTGAGCTCCTGGGAGATGTTGGACTTCTCACAAGAGGCCTTATTTTCCTACCCTCGGTTAGTAGAAACCAGGAGTCCCACATGCAATGAATTACAATTATTGAACTGTACTGTACTGTACTGCATAAATACCGTATATGAACATCCGACAAAACTTCCGTGACATGTACTTTACTTATGAGCCGCCTCAAGTATTTCTGAATTGGCCAAAACCTTGCAAAACCGACAGGGGCCAACCCTATACCGATACCCTTTCTTGATTGAAAGTAGCTTATTGCCTGCATTCGAAAACACTGCATTAGGGGCCACATGTATATATATATATATATGCCTCTACCTATTACTGTATCCATCCAGTAGCCTTGGATAGGCCGAGGAGATGGAGACCACTCGTGCTGGTCAAGTGGTTGCCTAAGTGCTTTGGGTTCTTGGGTTTGGCTGGCTACCTGAAAGGACAAGGTGTAGCGGCGCAATGCTTTCTGCAATTGTCCGCGGATTGTGACAGCATTGAGCGCCCTAAATGCACAAGCATCCTGCTGCAGCTGCAAGGCAAGGGTGCGGCTATGTGCTAAGTTTCATGTAGTTTCCACGCGTTTTATCCACTACACTGCTACAGCTCAATTCGCAAAAACGAGGGGGATACCCGTGTTATTGAGCTTCGGAGGCTTAAGATTGCAACGCCGATTCAGCATGGAGGAACTGTATGAACGGATGATCCAGCTGCCCACAATCAAACCTCCTGGAGAGAAGCATGTATATAGGTAGCGATTCAGTGATCAACATTTGCCTTGAAGAGCCGGCAGACAACATGTGACAAACGCTTGGTTTGCCGCCTTCAGCCTTCGGCTCAAGACACTTCCGAGGTTGAGGGCTACAAGATGACTCTGGGATGTTCAACAAACTCCATGTTTGCCTGCGATGCTGCAGCCCCATGGCTACCCTTCCATGCTGCATTGTTTGCTTTGCGGCAGTGTATGCATACCTCAAAAATAAGCATATTCACAACTATACTGTAACTATTTTAGCACCCATTGACAGGCTTATGCAGCTTCCTGTGGCTCCAATGTGCCATGGAGCTCAGACCGACTGGCCACGCTTATCCCGCACATGTAGGTATTTTGCCTCAGCAGCTTGGGCATCTCCGAATGCGAGGGCCTTTTGCCATCCACTTTGGGACCTTTGTAAGGTGCATAAGCATCATGAGCTGCTTCCTCACTGCACGCCTCACTTTGCCCGCTTTGCGCAACGGTTTCCGCCGGAAAGCTGTGGTGGAAAATGATGAGCATTGCCAGGCAGTGAATGCTTGGCTGAATGACTTCGTCATCGGTCGTGACTTCTGTCCTTGGGCCAAGCCAGCCCAGAAGCGGAAACATGTTCGGATTGTGACCAGCACTGGAGTTGATCCCGAAGATGTCTTGGAAGACTTGCTTGATGAGGCAGAAGCGTTGCCAGAGAAATCTGCTTGCAGAAAAGGCGAGAAGACGACAACTTTGCTGGTATGCCCACATGTCAAAGAGTGGGAAGACTATGGCCCTTTTCGAGACTTCTACGAGGAAGACTTGGAAGCGGGAGATACCTTTGTGCATGAGTTCAACATGAAAATCATTGCATTTCATCCTAAATTTTTAAAATACGGCTTCTCAGTAGAAGCTGGGGATAGGATTGCCATCGCAAGAGCTGATGGTACATCTTGCAGTGCTACTGTGCTAGATGAAGAGGGCGGCATCCATCCTGATGATGAAGAAGAGCTTCTGAGCATTAGGTTGGACCATGGCCAAGATTTGCTGGTGCGATACAGTGCTATCATCACAAAGCTGGGCAGAACAGAACAAGGAGAAGAGGTACCCGCAAATGATGGCACTGGTGATGCTGCTAACCTGTCACCCGACTTGATATTCAGTCCTTTGCGCTTCCACGTCTTAAGTATGTGTACCAGTGACATGCAGTGGTCGAGCCATGTCATGTCAGGATGCACATGTGCTTGGACTATTTTGGCTAGGTCAGGTAAAGGCAAACCAAGGTGTTTGCTGAACACGGTTTTATCATGTTGGGGGGCCAGATCTCTTCTTGCTATTCAACGTTGTTGAAGTTTAGCAATTGGATGAATGAGTAGTTTTAAGGATCTCTACTCAACAGAGTGTAAATCAGCTTGTGAGCCTGAACCAATTGATGCTTCTAGAAGTCTAGTTCGTTGGCCTGGGGCTTGTGAAGTTGTGCCGTGCTTGGCGTCCTGCGTCTTCCAAGGTTGAGCAGAGCCCCCCGCCCAACTCTACATTTGCTACGTATGGAGGATCTGCAGGCTGCCAGTTCCGCCTCCAAAGCCGGAACTGGTCCGAACATTAAGCAAGTTCTAGAAGCCAATGCAGAGAGAGCTAGCTCAATCAGCCTCGAGTATATGGCCGACATGCTGGGCGAGTATGGCTGAACGCATGATGTGTGGTCAAACAGAATTGGACAACTGCCTTCGATCCATGACCAACACCCTGACAGAAGTGACACACAAGAAAGCCAAACAAAGCAAGTACGGGAAGAATATTGGAGAATGGAAACTGTCCAGCATTATGACTTTGAATTGAAAGCAAATCAAGTAGCTTTGGTCAGCTGTGGATGTACACCTGGGGTTTAACTTGGCTTCGGCTCGAGTCAAATTTTTCGCACTGCGTCAGAACATGTAAGAAACACACATTATATATATATATATACAACATGTAGGTACATCAGCGATTCGCTCCAAGAAGCTTGAACAAGGCTGCCCATGTGAGATTCCCAAACGATATTTTTCTTGAGAACAGTCTTTTGCGATACGCCGCAATCTCACCAAGCAACTACGCGTCTTGGTCCTGAAGTCCAGCCTCCTTTGATTGAATAATTTTTATGACGAATTATAAGCGTTGGAAATGATCAGACATCAGTTGATCAAATAAAATATGATACCCCAACAAAGGAGCACTAAAGAATACCAAGCCAAACAGACACACTTCGCCCGTTGATTCTGAACCTCATATACAATTTTCATTCAGCCATGGTCAGCCGTTTTTGACTACTGCATCGCGCAATTACAGTCTAGACCTGTTGATAGCAGCGACAATGGATGAGTTTGATGAGCCGGTGGCACACCTGGAGCAGCCGCTGACAGACGATGTCAAGAGCAGCGAGCCCGTTTTTTGGGGAAAGAAATGGCATGAAGGCACCCAAGTTTCAGGAACTAATATATATATATATATCAGTACATATATATAGAGAGAGAGACAGATAGGGCAGTGCTGCACACCAGAATAACATTGAGATTTGAACGCAGCTTAAGAACTGTTCGAGACCATTTCTCGAATTGCCAGAGAATGTGCCCCAGAGCCAAGACGAGTTGTTGCTGTTCGGCTTGGGTTGTTGGTTCAACATGCGGGGGCCGCAGGTGGCTTCGAAAAGAACGTTATTCATTTTGATAAGACGGCAAAGGTCATGAGTGGCCTGGCCTTTCAGTGTCTCAGTGATTGGTCGCTTTGCTTGTTTGGAACCCCTTGAGAGAAGGGGGGGTGCTGTTGCATTCCTGCTGTGATTAAGAACGGTTTACTCAGTGACGCATGTGAGTTGCTTCATGGGACTCAAAAAGTCCAGTATACAATCAATAGATGCAATTCTGGCATACTTTGACTCGGACTCGGACTCTCACACTCGGAGCTATGGTTAATTACGTCCAAATGATGTCCCTGCAGACCTGAGGAGACATTTTTGATGCCACCCAGGGCTTCCAGAAGGAGTTGGGTTCTCGCTACACATTTCTGGACATTGCCTGTGCTCCAGGTAGGAGGTCGCACTCCAGTCATTTGAGGTGTAACAATGAGTTGTCCCGGTGCACTTGTCGTAGCTCAATGAGTTGTTGTGAGTTTATTGAAATGGCCATCCCAGAAGCAGCCAGAAGCACCCAGAAGCCAATCTAGTTAAGTTAATCCAAGCTGAGTACGTAATCTAAGCGCCACAGAGGTTCCACCTTTTCCAGATCACCGGGGCACATAAATGATCATAAATGTATATAAATCTATATTCAAGGGGGGTGTACCTCCCCTCTCAATATATATATATACATATTTCTCGGTCTCAGGGTCTCCAGATGTCATTCTCGGGGAAGTGATTGTAATTACAATTCCAATTAAATTCTTATTGTTACTAGTAGTAAGGCACTTGTTCCTACTAGCGTGGCACTTGTTACTTGTAAGTTTCATGCGATATGATGATTGTGGATGTCCCCGCCCCCTGTCATTGAAAAAAGTATGCTTCCTCAGGGCGGCTTCCCCCGTTGCTGTCATACATTATCCGGAAAATCAGCTTCCACAATTTTCATTGATTTGCAGACAATTGTGCCATGGGTTCATGCAATGGCCGCAAATACTCCAAACATGTAGCAGTGCATAGGTGAGTGCGTCCGCCCCGTGCATATTCAGGTCTTGAGCCACCCCCTGCCTTTCATACATATCCCTGTCCCTGAGGCGGTGTTTCCAGAAACACGGAGGGAACAAGAACAATGTATATTTTGTATTGAGATATGTGTCCTTTTTCTCGATGTCAACCCCTCGTGTTCGAAATGCCTTCTCAACACCTGTCGCCCCATTTGCATACATTAGCAGAAATGCATGAAACCACCCCCCCTTTGTGGAGATAGACCCGGTGATTGTTCCAGCGTGATCCAGAGTGCCCTTGAGGTGGCTTCTCACGATTTCTTTGTAGTGATTCCCGCTGTCAAAAAGGCTGGGGGATCAGTTTGCCAGCCACTAGGCCATGAACATATTATCACACACCTTTTGTTTTAGATTGTTTAAGTTTCGTCATGTGTGGCTTCCCAGCCATAGTTGTAAACCTCATGTTTGGTATAGCAACACTTGTCAGATGGTAGATTGTGGAAGGGTCGGGAAATAGAAAGAAACCACTAGGCATATGTATATACAGTATACAGTACGTGTTTTGAACCCTCCAGCTTTTGGCCACATTGTACTTTGTCCTGAGGTTACTGAAGGTGGCTTCAGACTGTTGTTCACATGGACTCACGCAGACGAACGGATGCTTGCTTTGGACTTGGAGGTCTTTGAGATCACGCATCACTATCAAAGTCCTGACAGAAGTTGTTGACCACGTGTAGTATATAGTTCATCCATTTCAAACATGGCAATTGAACTTTCAGAGTATTTTGCTTGCTTGAGGGCCAGCACATGGACTTTCAGTATTGCCAGAGCAGTGCGCTCACAAAGTGCAAAGTGTTCTCGCTCAGGAAGTTTCAAGTGAAGTTCAGAGATATGTTGACACTCGAGCCAGAGGATTGCTGCGTGCCTTGGCATCCTCATGGAGTGTGTGCAACAAGTGTCTTGGCAACAGCAAGAGAGGCTACTTTGTTGCCAGCCGAGGAGCATCAGGTTGATTTGGTGATTTCTGATGCCCAATATCTACCTTTGAGGAAAGCCGATCAACCGGGACCGGATCCAGCCTTGGAGACTCAGAAGCACGGCCAGACTTGGCTCTTATGGATGCAGCCCTCAACATGTTGGGCCAACAGGGGGTTTTCCTCGCTCCTCGTTGTTGCAGACCTTGTAGCTTCATTGTCGCCGAGAGTGCACGCCATCATTGATTTAAAAAAGAAACAAAACACATCCGCTGTTTTGAATATTGTCGTAACATTGTCGCCGAGTTCGACAAACAAGACTTTCTCTTTGGAAGTCGCCATCACAGGACCTACAGGATCTCTTTTTTCTCATGGATCCTGGGAGCGTCTTGAAACGTCTCAAATTTGTGCAGCTTTAAGAGGCTGATTCGTGATACCAGGGCGCTAATGTAAAACATGTTAAGATGCATGGGTCTTGCACCATGGGTGCGGGGCAGGCCCCACCGTTCACCCAACATGTTGACATGTAACATGTTGACACATGTGCATGTTGACTTAAGATTGAATGGAACGGATGGAAAGACACTCATGATATGCAAACATCCACAACTCTAGATAACCTGTCACTGTTGGTCCCTTGCACTTTTTCTTGTGACCATGCATAAACTTCTAGCTCAGGCAAAGTCTCAAAGCGTGAATCCTGCTTTAGGCTGGGCATGACGGATGTGTCTTAGGCCATTCCGCATTCTTTTGGGCGGTACTTTTGAGCCCTTGTTACAGACTGCATCCGTGAAGAATGTCCAGTGCAGTGCTGAGCATATCCTGGTATGGTATTCATTGGCATTCTCAACTGCATGACCTCGGCGAAGAGATTCCGCTGGAGGTTTGACTGCTTGGTTTTCGTCATGAATCCTTGTCCGCTGGAGGTATTTGGGCCTTACTTTTCCAGCAGCTTCGGCTTGGCCTTTGCAATTTGAGACTCTTGTATGCTTTTATGTGGGTTTGCATGTTCCACCTCCATGTGCAATGTGATAGAAGATGTATATTGTTGTTGTACATAAGATTGTTCGATGTTGGTTGCATATTTTGCTCCAACAGATCCGCCGGTGCTTAAACTTGCGTTCGCATGATGCTTTTGATCCGATGTACCCAAGGAAATGGTGGAGTGATGATGTTTCGGTTGAACTGCAGCGTGGCCATTGTCTTTACATGTCTCTTTAGGATTGTTCAATTCTTGTTTTGGCTTGTGTATCTCCCAGACGCTTCCCAGACATGTCTTGTTGATTCTTGTTGCAACGATGATGGCCACATCAATGAAGCAGGATATCAGACAGATAGTCCCTTGAGATGTAACATATACAAGTACATCCTTGGTTTTGTTTATTTCTTCAGATCTTTCCCACCGGGCGTTCAAAGGCAAAGATGGAAATGTCGACTGGTATTTTGACTCTGTTTGTCAAGTCTTGGCGATGGTCGACCGCGTCTTCGAGTCGATGGTGCTTTTCAAGTCGGGCAAGTCTCATCAAAGCGATGGAACTGCCTACATCATTTGTCGAGGTTTTTGCCGGTGTGAATTTGAAGCCATGCAAGGGTCTGAGATCCTGCGGAAATCAATCATGGTCTCCAGATACTTTGCCAACAGTTGCAACTCTTTTCTTGTAGACTCATGGCTTGGGCCATATACTGTAATTCAATTTGTCCATGACATGTTTCATTGGCGCGTTGTTTGTCCTTTCGGGGGCGCAGCAGCAGAGGATACGAGCTTGAGGTGGCTGCACTGGGGACTTCGCCAATGTTTCGTCGGATCACAGCAAGTAGAGAAGCTAAGCTGCTGAGTTATTCAGTAAATCTTCATCATCTTGACATCTATATAATCTTTGGCCAGTAGTTCCATCTCGGGTTTGCCCAACAGTTGTCACAGAGGAAGTGCGCGCAAGAACCCGGGAGCTTTTCTCCTTGGTGGATGATGCCATTGCCAGATACAAAGACCAAGCAAGCTTCAGCTATGCCTCCACTGTCAAGGAATGGCGCTGTGCAAGATCAGTTCCATCACTTCGACGCAAAGTTCGGAGCACCATGGGGTCGGTGATGCCCATGGTCGCCAGCAGGCTTGCAGTGAAGCAACTAGAGGATGCAGCTCAAGATATGGAGGACTTGAGCAAAACCTTTGGTGTCCAGGCTTGAGATTTGTAGTTTGCAATCTATTATGTCGGATACCTGGGGGCCTTTGTGGCCGGCCGGTCGTCCACCTGCCATGTCTTTTGTGCAGTTTGTGCCATTTGAGGCGATGAAGCCTCCTTGAGATGCCAAGAAGCCATGAAGAAGCTGAAGGCTAGAGCCAAAGAAATTCAAAATGTCATCCAAGCAGCGCAGCAGACATCCACCGAAGAGATCGAAGCAGAGACTTTTGAAGCAAGTCCTTTGCCTGATCTATACTGATTTACATTTATATAAATATATACATTTTATATACCAGGGTTTGTTTGCGCATGCGATTCTGTTTTCTTCTCGTCAACAGTTTGCTTTGTATGGGTGTTGGGTCCTGAATGGGGCACATTCGGACTCATGAGTTGAGGTGTTTTTGACGATGGATGGGCACGCACCACTGAACCTGAACCTGCCTCAAGTGAATACTTGCATGTAACTGGCCTTCTTCAAGGAATTGAGGACAGCCGCGTGACTCAGAGTCATACCAGAAGCCTCTTGGGTGCTTTATCAACCAATATAGAAACAAGAAACTGTGTGCTGACCAGTAGTGGTTGTAGACGAGAATCAGTAGTGGTTGTAGGGCTTCCGATTGTCCACCTGGAGTGGTATGAGTAGGGTGCATGTTGTGGTTTATGTTTTGGGATGGGGAGTGGTTGCGTTCCCCCATCCAGGAGACAACACTTCAAAGGTGCTTCAGCCGAGCTGGCAAAGTGGCTGAGATCCGTTTCCTCCCACAGGTCGGCTTGCAACTCGTGTTTGCACATGATATAGATCAGCATGTTCATGTTCACGCTGATGGTACTTCTATGTACCTCTCATGCTTCTTCTTACCAAATGCCCTGAACATCCTGAACCAGATGAAGTTTTTGGTTGCCTTAGCAGGCCAGCTTCTGAACTCATGTCTAGATCATGCTAGAGCAGTGCCTGACTTTTGGAATTGGTGTGCCTAGACTGCATGCACCGTGTTGATTTTTTCTATGGTCGTTCCTGTGGTTTGCGTCGTGTTGTTTGACCGGAGACGCCGGAGACGGGTTTTACTGCTGCAAAGCACCACCAACATCAAGGCGTTGCGAGGGGTGCAAGGACTGGCAAAGAGATATTTCTTATATATACTAGATTATATTTGGATATATATTGGGTAAATGCCTGATAAACCCGGCCATACTCGGACCGCCCCGCTTTAGTAAACCTTGATTAACAATTCAACTCAAAGATGGACTTGCTCGAGATACAACGGTGCGCCAAGTAACATTTGGACATGCGATGATCACTCATCACATAACTGATTACACACGTCCTTCCTACTTTTGTTGCCCAGTTTGCATCCAAATGCGGGTCGGTTGGACGAGTATCAGGACCAAGCCATGGGATCAAGATGTGCTGCCTTAGTGTCTCAGCTGAGATTTACAAAGCTTGTTAGGGCAAAGTCAACTGCCGCAGAGCAGTGTCTTTTGCCAGCACATGGCTGGGAATGGCTCAATAGGAGAAGATACTCTCCCACTCACTAATCTGGACGTGGAAAACCCCTGTTCCTACCACTACTCAATTGCCCCAAGCTACTCCACGACATGGGCCTAGGTGAAGATGTCAAGCCTTGAAGATAGCAAAGCCGCCCGTGAGAAGCTGGACGGAGTCATTCCAGAAGGGACAGGCCACTTGAATTTGAGGACTTGTGGACGCTAAGCCAACCAACATTCAGATTAAGTATAGATGAAAACGGCAAGTGTGGGCGGCGACTACGCAGTGGTGGAACATGCCTGTTATTCACTCAATGAACATTAGCAGGTTGGGTGACGTGCCTTCCCTTTGGCCCATTGGGTTCAGAGAATGGTGGGCGGAGATACGCGGAGGGCTTGTATATCAGGTGGAAGAAAGTGTGTCTTCTTACTGGGTCTTATAGCATCTATGTGGATCAGCCGCAGTCGAATTAATAAGTCCATTCCCTGTGATTTGTGTGCGACAATTTTCATCAATTTTCACCTTTAGTTCAATCTACAACCACTAAGGAGCTTTGGAGGGAGGATTCGACCGTGCGAGATGATATATATATATACAGTGATCCTCTTGAAGAATTCTACCAAAAAGAAACAGGTTTTGACGTTGGAACCTTAAATAAGAAAAGCTTTTGTCCCTGTGGTCAATATTGTATGGTCCAGACCCAGGACTGGCAAACTTCTGCAGTGGTTTTAAAACCGTCAAAACCAAGGCTTTGAAATGGAGCGTAACCTCATGATCACCTTCCAGGCTCGCATGGGCCAATGGGCAGTCCCATATGAGAGCGATTTCTTTGTTTCTTCCTTCAAACAGGTGAAGAATGGTGTTCAAGTTTGTGATCACCTTTTCGTGCGGGGCATCCCATCAGCTGTTCAGAAACATCAGATTGCCTCCTTATTCAACCGTTTTGGCCAAGTTCTTTGGAGCATCTCGTCCGCATTTCATAAATCGTCAACTTGTTTCCAGCGTTGTCAGTTGCACTGCAAACCATATTGCTGAATGCCAAGCTGCCAAGATGCTCTTTGCCCACTTGCGTGATGTTAGGATTCAAAATCAATCACTCGCCATTTAGACACCAAGTCCATTCAACACAACCGGAGTCACCCACTTGCAGGCACCATTTTACCACCCCGCATCGGCGAAGATGATCGCTGTGCTTTGGTTCAGATGGCCAGCAGCGACGAGGCCCAGAACGCCATCCAGGCATTGAACTGGACCAGCTCATCAGCACCTTGGAGCGAGTTGATACACGTAGGTCACCATGGACATGGGCATGTTGGCCACATGCTACATTAGGGGATACGGGGTTTGTTGCGGGCCTTTCCTGTCCTTTTTAACCTATACAATATCATACAATATCTAATTATACAATATGTTCTTGTTTTATATAGCCTTCAAAGGACCGTATTGGAGCCTCGAGGCCTCGCCATAGCCGCCGTAGCTGCAGGCCTTGATGCCAGCGATGATGGTTCGATATGCTGGTCCAAAGGTCTTTGTGGCTCTTCAGCGCACTGAGGGAATCCATGAGGAAGGTGCTCAACTCAGGGGTGGTTCAGTGTTGTTCACAAGTGACAAGAGAAAGATGGCCCTATTGCTCACCTTCATGGTTTCCACCATTGTCCACCAATATGAATTCTGCCCACCGGCCAGGTGAAGAAGGATCCGAAGAGGATGAGGATTTTGCTCACTATGGAGTGATTGAAGAAGCGCCAAAGCCTGCGTTCCAACCTTTGAAGGAAAGACCCCATGATTTGGGATCCAGATGGAAGAAAGCAGAAGAATCTGGACCAAAGCCTGGTAATTCTTTGATTCATCCCAAACCTCAAAATCACATACTGTACTTTTTTCTTCAGTGTCATGTTCATCCATAAATGTATATGACTATATTATGAATAGATAAACACACACATATATATATATAGATATGTTGACATATATTGTTTAGTCATGTGTCATTTCCTCCCAGAAGTTCCTGAATTGGAAGCACCTTTTGTGCATTAAGGAGGAGGAGTGGGATGGACCGGAGGGTACAAGGCTTTGGGGTTGGGCGATGCAGCCTGTGAAAGAGCAGGAAGAGTTCCCAGAGCTCCCCAGCGAGACCCAGGACTGTCAGTGCGTTTGTGAAGTAAGATGCAGTGTGCCAATGTGCATCAATTGCGAAATGCATGTCGACGTGATTCATCGCTAAATACGCAGACTTGAACACTCTTGACTGACCTGGAACTGGAGATTTCCAACGGAGCATTCTCCGCCCGGCTTTCGAGTTAGGGTGTAACACTTTTGCATAGACATAGATGTGGGGTTCCAGGTGCCACACCGTGTTGAATTGCTTTCCCTGATTGGAGGTCCATGCTGAAGACTTGACTGAGTCACGGGAAGTGGAATCTTGGGAAGAACTTGGCGAGACTGAGCCCTGCGAGGTCCTTTGCATGAGGAATCCGCCTTCTGGTCTGCCTGATTCAGTGCCTTTGCGCCAGAAAGTGTTGTTTGACCAGTTGAACCAGCCGTTTGACGTGCAACAACCCCTTGCCTCGCTTTTTAATGTGTTTTCCACTTGCGACACATCATGAGGTCATGCAGATGTGGTTCAAACCCTATGGACACGTGGTGGACATGCGACCGATGGATATGGAAGCTGATGATGACTCCTTGGCATTCATCGTGCAGATGTCATGCAAAGAAGAGGCTATCAACGCCTTTGACGCACTCAACGGAAAGTCCATCATGCGAGGCAGCCATCATGTTGGGAAACCCTGCCGTGTTATCACGCAACAAATGCCGCAAGATGTTGTGATCCCATTGTTTGAGATTGTTTCAGTATTGTTTGCTTTATTCTTGGAAAGGTCGGCCACTGAACCTCAGCTATTGGCACGGCGCAGCAGAGAAGACTGGAGCTTTGGACCGTGGACGGCTGTTAGCAGCAGCACGGCAGCTAGCATTCCAGAAGAAGGAGGCTTTTGCTGCTTGGCGTGTTGAGCTAGATGGGGCCAATGGGACGGGATCCGATTGTCACGGTAATTCTTTTCAGTGTTGATCATCAGTTTCCTCTTTCAAGTGTAAAGTTGTTCATGTGAGCCGCATGGCATTACCAAATGTTGGCAAACATGTGGGGGGCGATAGGTAACCTGTAAGAGCGCTACCCTCAGAAGTATATTGTGCATGTGGTAGAGAAGAAACTGTAGGCTCCGTAGCAAAGCGATGCTGCAGATCTAAAACTCTAAGAGCACATATAGTTTTTTTTCATTTGGGGAAGCCTTGCATCTTGAAAATTGAAGCATCCTCTCGATTTCGACGTTGCTTCTGGTGTTGGAACTTGTGTAACATGACTGGATGTTTGATTGGGACTGTGTGGAGTGATAGATAAACCTGGCAAGTGATGCGCTTGCTGCACATAGCCATGTCCCACGGAAGAAGTTTTGACCATTGCACATTTGAAGAGAGCACTGGGAGTCTTCCAGGTAGCTGCAGAAAGTGAGGCAGTGAAGGAGGAATTAGAGGCAAACATCTCACACGTTCTTTGCTTGAGAGACCCTCCCGACTTTCCAGAATCGGCTTCTTGGCTTGCAATGAATTGCCTGGGAATCTTGAAGCTACTTGTTTCATGTGCATTTTGAAGCTGGTGCTGACGATAAGCTTGTATACGGTTTTGTGATCAACAAGCGGCTGTGACACTAGGGAAGCTGTCGTGAATTGAGATAGATGCTTCCTTTTGGCAAAGCGAATGGGTGCCTCGCAGGTCATGAGAGTTTGGTTTGCACCCTACGGGCAGATGGTGGAAATGAGACGACTGGAAGACGCGGACACTTCTAGAGCCTTTTTGGTGCAACTTGTTGATACCAATGCAATAAATTGTGTTTGTTTTGTTCCTGAGTGGGCCTTTAGGTTGTGGTTGTTGTTGTTGCTGCTGCCCGTGAGCGGCACGTAAGGAAAATGTCCAATGAAGATGAGGCCGCTGCAGCATTCCACGCTCTTAACAGCAAGTGCATCACAGGTGCCTAGGCCATGATTGACTCTGCCGCTTGCTCCGCTTTTGATTGAAAGGAGCACCGTGAATCCAAAGCAACGGGTTTGTAGAGGCAATGATCCTGGCTTGACCGCTGAACAACTAATGTCCACCTCTTTAGTATTGGTAGTGTTGGCCTTACTTTTGTGGAACTACATGCATTTAAGTTAGAGATTAGCAAGGCACCCAATGGGTAGCATTCTTCAGGAAAACAAGCAGAAAAGGACCAGGAATGAAGAAAAAGAGGAATCCAGCGCACCAAATCCAGGTCCAGTGGAAAAAGAAACATTAGTTTTTTTTTTCAGGGTGTATTTAATTTACTAATCGTAGGTTGACAGTAGTTACAGTAATTCCATGATCGTTCTGATGATCATGCGAGCGAACTGATCAGGGAAGAAACTTGATATCAGCTACTGGCATGGCGAGGGAAGGGGCGATCCTGTACATCAGAGGCCTCCGGAAGTAATGCCGGAGAAGGTGAGGCCGACCAAAGGCTTGTGACTGTGCCACTTGTTTGTAAGGTGTCCAAAGGCTAAGGTGGTTGGTCTAGGTATTGTACACTTGGGCCAGATCTTCTACTTTTCTTGAGTTTGCTGGTTTTGTTGCAGGCGAACGGTCACGTCCCTGGTCCTGGCGTTGGAATTGATAACCAACAGTTGCTGGAGGCTTGTAAGGTTGCTTTACAGGCAAGATCTCGAAGGCTACAATCTGGAGATGACCAAGTTGCTCCCAAAGGTGACCACACTTGATTTTGTTTCGTTTTTGATGGTGCGTTACAGCCGAATGCTTAAAATACAACTGGTGATGGTGGTCAGTGGTTGCACTAAACGTTCCATAACCAAAGCATCCTCTCCACGTAGAGAGTTCCTCAGATTGTATGAACCCCTTGCACAACCTACGAACATCGCACCGCGGCCTGAAGCTGTCAAATGTTTTTTGTTGCTGCTTGCTGTTCTTATTTCATTTTGAGTGTTCCTTTAAAGATTTTACAGAAGTCGTGTTCCAACGGCAGCAGGTTACAACATGTTTTTTCAAAATCACTCAGATTGTTTGACGGTGTTGTCCATCCCATCCTTAAGGTGATGTTGAGTCCTGGGAGGACTTGGATGAGGAAGACGTCGATGATGGGCCAACTGATTCTCTTTGTGTGAGTGGAGTTCCGCCCGGGATCCAGGAGATGGTGATGCAGTTGCTTCTGTCAAATTAGGCTCAATTTGAGAGTCAATGAGCACAAAAGCAATATGGTACTGCTTTCATGTTCTCATTGTTGACTAGCACAGTACTCACACATACGAATAGGATTTCCACCCCGGGACACGTTGGAATCATGCTTGCCAACCTTTGACAAGGTTCTGGTTCAAGCCCTACGGGCGAGTTCAAGAACTGCGACCTTTGTCTTCCGCCGAAGTGAGTGATGGAAAGCCTGCCTTCTTGGTAAGAATGGGCGATGTGAAGGAGGCCACTGCCGCAATGTCCAAATTGGATGGCAAGCCAATAATGAAAGGCTCACCTCTCGTCGTTCGGTACTGGCACGGCAGGTAAGTGCGCAGGCTTGGATCGTGCTTCCGTTGTACAAAGAGAATCAGTAGGAAGCATGAGGTTCAGAGCGTCGAGTGTGCTTCCATATGGCTGTGAGTCAAGACCTGCGGACTCTAGCTGACCCTCCGAACATGAACAGAATGGACTGCTGGGCAGGTCAACCTGCAGTGGTTTCGGGGTCCAGATTTTCACCCACAGCCATATGATGCCACTCCAGATGCGTTTTGACCCGTCATTCTGCGCCAGATGGCGGGTCTCAAGGTCTCGAGGAAAGGGCGTGCGCTGACAGAGAAAGGACGTGTTCATGGGACAGGGCTGCTCAGGCTCACAATCACGCCCCCAATCGCTGAATGTCAATTTGCAGTTGAATTGTCAGGGATCTAATGCTTGTGCCAATGCCATTGCTGTTCTACAAGTCGGCTAGATGACGTTGGCTAATGATGCTAATTTGCACTAATCGAAGGGATTAAACGGTGAACTTGATTCAACAGTTCAAACAAATACTTCAGGAATTTGTCTGGAGCGTGGTGGGCTCGCACCAGCCCAGACGTTGGCCAGAAGGATCTGAGCAAAACCAGACAGCCTGCACATGTTCTGATTCCGATTGTGACCGAGGTGGCGCATGATGTAGCAGGTGAGAGCGCTCAAGAGACAGGAGCTGTGACGAGTTTGTTCGGAAGGGAAAAGCTCTTGCAAGGTCTTGAACATTAGCCATGAGGAATGGAGGATTTGGTTGATTAATTATCGTTGGTGTATTCATAGAACCCGACATACGCAGACAAGCGATGTGCCAGCAGGAAGCGAAATTGAGGATTCTACGGAGGCCCAACTAACTTGATGCACCTTGGGCGCGGAGGCGTTAGTTTCCTTTTTGTTGAGCTATTTGGAAAGATCAGTTACAAAGCGCAATTTGTTCCTTTCAGAGTTTGCAGAGGTTTTCCACTCACAAACTTGTTTGCCAGTGAGATTTGATTCGTGGATGATGCGTGCTGCTTGCCTTTGTGCATAGGCATGCCACGCATGAGGCATACATTGTTGTCATGCTTGAACCGCCTGGAACTTGCAATCAGCCTTGATTGCCTTCGATGCAGGTCTCAGATGACTGTGAGGAAGAGATCCGTGCCTCGGCTGTGTTCCAGACAATGTTGCTTTCCCTGTCACTACGGTGGATTGTACTTTTTTGGGGGCTTTGTTTGTGGCTTGTTGTAGTGGAACAGGCACAAATGGCATCACTGTTGCATTGCCAAGGTTCTTTGCTACCTGTAGACGTTCCTTCAGCCGCTATGCTGAGCTTGTCCATTCTAATTTTGCACTCTTGATGAGATTTGACCAGTACTTGGACGGCATTCCAGTACCCCAAAACTAAAAACTGCGTCACTCAGGCTGCAGAGACGGTCGCTGAAGACGGCAACTCAGACTGCAACTTGGCAGACAACAGCACCGATGACAATCGATGGGTTTCGAACATTGAGGCTGAGAGACTCTTCTAGAAACCAATTGAATTCGCGCTGTTTGCCGCACGGATTGCCTTCGATATCAAGGATCTTACAGACGTGCTCGAAATCAAGATTAACTTTATATATATATATGATGTATGTGATTTTTTTGTTTTACCTAGGCGTATGGGTCTCACAAGCACCCGCTGAGGAGGACTGGTTGGAATTGTGAAGCTTTGTGCTTGGGCTGCTTGGGGTTGTTGCTGCAAGCCAGGATCACGCAATGGACATCGCCGTTGATCAGGAAGGGCTCATTCTTTTTTTTCAGACAGCTGTGAGTGGAATGCCCGAAGAATTGGACTTACCTTGTTTTTGGTTTCAGAAGATTCATAAGTTTTGCATAGTTTTGATTGGGATCTTGTGATGAAGTGATGCTGGGATATATACTGCAATACATGTTTAACTCATAATATAAGACAGTATAATAATGTATAATATAATAACTTGCTATAGTATAATATAGTATAAAGAAATATATATACTAGGTTCTGATGTCTTGGGACTTGTGGCCTCTAGTGAGAAAGGACTTCAGCCCAGAAGTCCTAGGTCATCTGAGTATTCACTGATTTGATTTTGCATATACATTTACATGACTTGGGAGTAGGGGACACATCGAACGCTTATGTCATAAGTTGCGTTGTCCACGCAGGTGCTGGTTTTCTTTTTTTATTTTTGGGCTTGGGAGGCTGGCACGGTCTTGAGCGGCATCTTACTTGAAGCTTGGGACTTGTGGGCTCTAGTGAAAAAGGACCTCGACATGAAAGTCCTAGCCAGCTCTTTCTTTTTCACGCCCTTGCTGTCTCTACGGTTGTTCCTTGCTGGGTTTTGTCTTCCAGCTGCTAACGCACCCAAGGTTTGTCTCACGACACACAACTGCACACAAAAACAAAGGTTAGCCTCAGGTTTTTATGAGGTGGTCTTGCACTAACCTGTTTTTGGCTTTGGTAAAGTGATGACTTGGGAGTTGCAGGACATGTTCATAGAGAGATGACATAGACCTTAGTGATTTCAGCATGCGTTTTACAACTCCTTAGTCACCAGAGCTCAGTATATATATATATATAACGGTTGTTTCGTGGGATGCGAGGGTTGGGA